ATAACTCCGCTGGCCAGTCCAACAATGACATTAGTATCACAGATGGACCGGAGTGTCATGGAGTAGTCACTATAGCAAATTATGAATAGCTTGCTGACATCAAACTTTTGTCTTTACAACATTGCCTTCTTACATGATTTCGGTGGGTGTGCAAGATCCGAAGCAACCGCGTCTGTATGACTAAATGAGGACTGATGGAGCCACTATCCTGACATTTTTGACACCTCGATCATCGAATAAGAAATTGAATGCGACTATCGGATGTGACGCTCTTGAAGACCATTGAGTCATGAATCTTAAGTTATTAGGTGAAACTAAGTTGTACATGACAAGAACATAGATATATCGTTTAATAAAAGGTAAAGAACATATTAATTTTGTCGGAATGCACGCTAGTGTCAGCGCCCTATGATCTAGAAGAGCGTCAGGTACGAATAAGTATGTCATGACGACGTCTGAGAAATACATAGAAATGACTATAAGCGGTAGGTTTAAATAGGAGTTTAATTATGCTAGTTAAGGTTAGAGAGCACCGCCTGCGAGTGACTGTGTAGTAGTAAATGTGACTCCCCTTCCGTAAGCATATGAGGCTCAAAGCTTGCTTGTCATGAAAACTCAGCTTTTATGCAGTTATACCAGTAGAAGGGGAAGTTAAAGAGCATCCTGATCTGTGTTTGAAGTATAGGGAGCCAACATAAAGCTAAAACGTGGAGAGGTTTGTTGAAACGGTGACTTGAGAAGTACTGGCCCAAGCTCCCAACTTGAGGGAAAAACCACAATGTTTAGGGAAATTTTGGGGTTTTTGTGTCATTTCTCCAAAATGCGTCAAATTTTCCACAAAATTAGAAGCTTGGGTGGAGCTCAGTATTCACCCCAGACCTCAGTTAATAAAATGTCTAGGCTGAGGAAAGTACAAGTTGAATTCGATCGTTCTATCAATCAAAGTGATCTGTCTATTGAATGAAGGATATTTTAATGAACTGAATCACGCAAACTCACGCTAGATGTTTTTTGGGGATCGGTTGGCTCTAGATCACTGCGGGCGTTCTCACAAAAAACGTTTTTGTACATAAAAGGGTCCGATAAATAAGTACCTTACCATAAAATAGCTGATCATGTCTTGATGACAAAATCTGTAAGAGAAAAGAAGTACTACTATTGATCCGTCAACTTAATCTTTGACAACAATGAGCTGTTTGTGAATTAGCACACTTGAGAGCACTGTAGGCCTTCTTTACATAGTCTTCATTTAGAATCTGAGATTCGTATGACGTGAGAATATACCTGTTGAGGAAGTGTCGTATGTCTTGTTGTTCTTCAATCTGTTAGCATCCCTCCATGTCACGCTTTTGGATGGTAAATCTGGAAAACGATCGACCGAGAATTATTTTATCACGGACTAGAACTAATACGGACTCAATATTTCGACCGTATTTAAAAATCGGAAATCAACATGGCTTTATTATCGTAAGTGAACTTGAATTCGAAGTAGAACAGTTCGGTATATTTTGTGAAGACAAGAGATAAATAAAAAATCAGAAAAGTAACTCACGAATATTTGCTCGATTACTTACTTCGTAACTTATAAATTGAAGCATATGGCTATATATCAGCTCTATTACTGTGATCAACAACTTGAATCTACTTTTATGACATGCATATTTTTCACTAATTCTCATAATATGTACTATTAATATTATTGACTGTAAAATTGTCGTTAAAAACTATGACCTTTGTTCTTCCATCCCGTTTTCGAACACCCCGTGGCATGACAAACTAAATACCGTGCAAAAACACATTGCTGCAAACATATGCCTCTGGTCCTAAATTATCCACCGTTACGATACCAGGACTCTGATATATTTTCACAGAGGTGTATTGTGGATATTATAGTAATTAATTAGCTGAATTCATGAGCCAATTGAAGCTAGACCACCATGGAAAACCTAGAAGCACTTGACGGCCGTTTCGTCGTAGTATGGGACTCCTCAGCAATGTGCATCCACGATCCCGCATCGCGAGTGCTTAACCTTTAGACCATGATAGGATGAAACGGCCATCTAGTGCTTCCAGGATTTTCATGGTGGTCTAGCTTCGATTGACTCACAAATTCAACTATTAGATTGCTATAATATCCATAAACCCGCCTCCAATTATAATCATCATATGCTCACTGGATACCGACTTCAAGAAGCATTCCCTGGAGTTCTAGTGAGAAGACTTGACCAGTGGAGTCCAACTGGGTCTGTTTTGAGATAGTAACTCAGATGATAAAGGTGGACGGCGGCGCAACTTCGTTGATTGGCCGAAGTCATCCATTAGCACAGTCGTATGCCAGCTGAGTGGGTCAAAGGTTAAGCGTTCGCACGCGAGACTGACTGGCCTTGGGTTTAAATCCCGCGAGGTGGAATCGCGGATACAGTTTGCTGGGTTCTATGATAGTTAAGAAAGTCAGGTAATCTAGTGGATGGCTACTTAATTTGCTCCGTCACAAACAATACATTATCACGACTCACAGGATACAAACCAAAGATTACAAGTAGGTTAATAATACGATAGCTTATGTAGGCATGTAGGACAGTTTTTCGAATTAGTTGGGTAAATAAACTATAATGTCCAATCGGTTAAAATATAGTATTTTGCGCCGAACATGTACTCATGAAGTTTTTTTATTATCTATCCACAGCCAAAGCCTCATTATGGATCTTGCTTATTCATCTCGAAACAAAAATAACAGGTCCCCCGTTCCACTCTAGAACTGCACCTTACAACAATGGTGGAAACTGTTAGAGGAGAGCCTCACCATTTCAAAACTGTTCCTTATTGTATCCTCGTGTCGTTGTCTCAATACAATCTCTTTACCGGAAACCAGGTAGGAGAGTGTAGACAATACTTTTGTAAAGCCAGGGATAATTCTGGAATGAAGCTGTAGAGCACCAATCCATAATCTGGATACTGAGATATTCTTAAGTGACGGTGCTTGAATTGGTGGAGCGAGAGGACTCAAATTAGATTTAAAACATTTAGCACTTACAGTATAGCCTAAGAATTTGATAGAAATAAGTTGAGACTGACACGGATAAATTTACGGCCAAATAAGCGTCTAAGTAGTTTTAAAAGATGTTCCATATGTGACTTTACATCTTCAGCATGAACTACGATATCATCCTGATACGACTCAACACCATCAGAACCGGTGATAATCTAATTTATAACCTTCTGGAGTACTGCAAGGGAACATTTAGTCCGAATGGTAGGGATTTGTATCTGAAAAACCAGAATGGTGTATTAATGGTAGTTGGTTCACTAGATTTCATGCAATGGGATTGGCAAATACGCATCTCCCAAACCTGTTTCAGAAAATTACCTTGACCCTCATAATTTATGTATCTTTATGTCAGGCTGTAATCACCATATTTCCCCGGTGGTTTACTACCCGCCTTAAGTGGAGTTACAATGAGAGTAGCTGAATTAGAGTGCCCAGTCGGGATTATTATCCATTTTCCAACCAGCTTAACTTCACAACTTACCTTGAACCATGTGGAATTAACCTAACCTTCAAAGACAGGCACTCCCTATACTTCTAAGTGCACTGGTCGGATATCAATTTCTTGAAACTTTCGAGACGGTACGGTAGTCTAGTTACTGAACTACACCACTTGCAACCAGTGTGGTAGTTATTTGTGGATTTGTAATTTGAGTGAGCGCATCTTGCCTTAGGGTGGTAGGATGCCAGCGGCTATCATTATCAGGCAGGAGGTTGGTTGGATGTAATGTGAAAATAATGTGATAATTCGAGTGTTAAAACATCAAATGTTCGCCTACATGAATACCAATAGGTTGTCAAACCTCATGATACGTCTTCGACCACATCAATGCACAGATAAAAATCCGACAGAGGTCATTTTCAAATTTCGGATATAGATGACACAGACCACAGAAATTTTCGAGGCTTGATACCCAAGTCAATCGTCAGTCAATGAAAACATCGAAATCGACAAAATTTATCAATCATTTTGAAAAACCATGAACAAACATGGGACCAAAAATCAGGCCAAACGGTTGGACAGCCAAAATAAATATACATAGGACGACAGGATAAAGACGAACACTAAAGTTCGACAGGATAGGCTGTCAGTCGTATGTAGCGATATTCGAATAGCTCACTTGTTTATAAAGTTTTTGCTGCTTTTGTTCAGATGAACAAGAAAATCCTCACGGTAAAATCACTCAATCCAAAGAAGGAAAATCCAATTTCTGCCGGTCTTTATAATCCGGTTTTTATTTGGTGCAATCCCAGGAACAAATCACCGGTCGTTAATTCCTATAGCTAAACACAACTTCAGCTAACCTGCTTTGGCCTTAAGCCTTCTTTCTAAGTGCCGCCTATGCTATATTTCTATTTTAGAAAATACTATAACTACGGAAACCACATTGAAGTCTTACCTCTGATGTGGTGTACAAGATGAAGGGTTTCTAATTTTGGCATCACTGATAACTCCGAACCACAGCCTGTCAAGTTAGTAAGACAGACCACCACAACAGTCTGACTAGGGGTATGTATTAAAGAGAAATCTTTTGAGTTATATATTCAAGACTTAGATACTCTGCGACTACTCTGTCATGTCATATACATATCAGTGAACGTCAAATCAACTCATCTGTTATACTTTCGTGCGCTGCTAAGTTTACAATGTATGTATAGTTTATTCTTCACGTTTAGGAAAACATCGCTAACCCCATTACATAGTCCATCAGTTCTGTAGAGCAAAAACTTTAGTTATTCACTTTAAAGTATTTTCAATTCAAACTACTAAGTCTCATTCGTTTCAAACATGATGCAACTGATATGGAAATTACTAACTTACACGCTAAAACACGAATGACATTTATTCGGTTTGATGATTAACACAAGCACTTGATAAATCAAATAAATTTTAATGTCATAAAACATAGAAATGTAGTTCGTTGTTTGGTGAGAATAAGATAGTAAATGAACTTCATTTCTTACGTTGGCCACCACCAGATAACATTACTGCTATGCGAACAAATATGTTCACAGCATCCAATAAAATTCGAATGGAACTGAAGTAAAGAAAAGAATCAAGATCCACCATTAACTACTTTGAATATTTCAACATAGTAAAATAATCACCAACATAGCAGTGTAGTCAAAGAAATGTGAGTTCCTAACTATCAATAAGGTTTGTGAAAATAGAGTAAACTTTTAGGTCCAATATTGAGTAGCTTTTCATCAATAAATTCGATAGACAAAACACAAAAATGGATTTTTGTATAATATAAATGACAGGCAAGTTAACATATTGAAAAATTTAATACCTATAATTTAAGCTTATTGAGAAAGTTAGAAAATCCATGTAATATGACAATTAATACTTAATTATGGTAAAACGGGAGTAAAAATAGATTTTTCTTCATGTCAACTCATATGTGAAATGCATTGTTAAGTTTAACAGCTTTTTCTGTATGTCAATCCGAAATTAATGTGGTACGACTTCAAGACAATGTTTGCCTTAAACCTGGCCACTTTTGGATTATGAACTTATATATAGGACTATAGAACTGGAAGAAAAATTTACTGAAATGAATATTCTTTTTTATATGTTTTCTTTGTTAAAAAACTGTATTCTCTCCCTTTCCAATCCTCTTTCGTATATTAAGTTATCCTACTTGCCTATATTCAGTAACCGGTATCCATTCTAATGACATTTGAGAGTACGGAGTGTCATGTTTACCAGTTACTGTAATTGCATTTTTTAAATACATACAACCGTTACTTTCGATCTCAATGCATCCCTCAAAAATAGAAACAGTTCACGGCTTAATGATAATATTGCATAGTAATACACTGGCCGGTAGAGTTCAATTATTAGAAAATCACTAACTTGTTGATCGGGTCAAATGGTTTTAATGCTTCTGGATTCTGAAATCCTTTGTTAGTTGGTAAATAGAAATTCGGAGGTGGATGAGATTCTGCCCGTCTTATCACATGTTGTGTATCGTAAAGTAGGAATCCAGAAAACAGAAGAAGGCCGCCATAAAGACTGATAGACGCTAAACCAGATCCCAAACGACTTACAGGAGATAGAAACATGGAACCTTATAGAAGAAAACATGAGGTTAGATTATGTTTGCCTAGAACTTAAATCAACGATAATAATTGTACTTTTGGTTAACATTAAAGCTGTTGTAATAATGTGAAAAAAAAATTTCAAATGCTGTGAACATACCATCACTTAAAAAGTTAACTGAAAACCCATTTTAACCACATTGTTAATTACACATTTACTGATCAAGAAGTCTAGTTTTTCGTACCCAATGATGCGTTAAGACGTTAGAAATTATTCATTAAATTCCTTTTCATGACATTAATAGATTAGTATTATTCATTGGTATAAATCATTTCAAGGTTTGATTTCGAACAATTAGAATCACTAAAAAATGTCAAATAACTACATTTTAGGGTCTTTCTCTCATCAAGTTATTGATTTTTGGGCGCCTAGTGTTTACATGTCTGACGACATTTATGTTGATTGTTCGAGTATTCTTTGTCAAAATGGTTTGGTTTGGATCAAAAAGAATGCATGATGCTTTTTCCAAGATTTCAAAGAGGAAATACTAGCCCCATAAATTGTACTTGGTTAGGCCAAATGAACTTTCAAATATTTGATGCCCATACGAGTCGATCAGCTGATGCAAACTCTGACCGGCACTTAGTAACGGTTGTTGATAGAACGAACAAGAAAGGGAGTAAAAAACACCATAAACACCACCAGAAGCGATGAACAACGATCATATCTATATGCATATATAAATCAACACAATATGAAAAAAACTAAAAGACGTCCAGAAGGAGAAATTTAACCTCAAACAAACTGAACAAACCATGCTGAACATTGCAACTTCCGTTTTCACACAAGCTAAGGTAACATCAACTAAACATAAATGGAAAAGTATACTAACCCACCAGGATAGAGAGGAAACCGGAGGAAAATACAAATTAAGAAAAAAGAGGCTTGACGAACCAACAGAGCTAAACCGAAACAACTCCACCTGATAGAGAAACGACGTCAACGAACAACTTAGAGACAACATATAAACAAAACTAACAAATATAGACCAAATCTTCACACAAAATGAACACCGCTAAACACACAAATGTCTAAACGCTATATTCGCGATAACAAACAACGAAATTTCATGCGACACAGAACCGACTACACAAATCAGCAAACAAGCACTGATAGACCACTATCAATAAATATTCAGCTACAAATCCATAATACAATTGACCAAAACAAACATGGAAACAAACCATCAAAACGATAGCCCCACCAGCCTATATGAGCTAGAGCAAACCATTAAATGATTGATAAATGACAGCCTTTGGGAACATCACAAACAAAATGGCAACATATAGAGGAAAGAAGCCAACAAAACATTATCTTAGGAGTAATGAACCAATGCTGGACTAATACAAACGAAACCCTATGCCTCTGGATTGATGGTAGACATTATCAACATCTACGAACATAAAGATATGAACACAAACTCGAGAAATTACCGGGACATATTCTTACTGGACATTTTTGGCAAATTCTTTGGGTGAATAAATATGCCCACGACTCATCATAAGTAACATGCCCCCCAAACACTGACCAAACTCCAGAACGAACTAAAAGCCTTGGGAATGGCAATCTCAACCGACAAGACAAAGACGATGACCGTAAATAAACAATACAACAACCAGCCAACTTGTTTTGACGACACAGTTATTAAAGTAACGTCCTTTAACCATCTGCAATCCATAATCTAACTAGACGGACTGCCTGAGCATGCAGTTGACCAAATTTATTTATTTATTTGAACACATAAATATTGGTACAAGAGAGCCCCAATATATATGCGCCACACAAAACAATGAGAATTCGAAGAGAAATAGAAAAAAAAGCTAAGGAGCGCAAAAAAAAAGAGAACAATAACGAAGAGATTGGTGTAAGGTAGTGTGGTAGTAACGAGGGAACGAAAGGTACAATCAGAAGAAATCTTTCAGGTAAGGGAGACACAACCACTTTTTATGAAGAAAGTAAAAGAAGGTTACAGCAGGATCGCCACTGGCTTCTATTCTGAGCCATATCTGATAACGTCTCTAGCCACTGTGTAGCACCATCTCTCGGACCCCAACCAGGGAGTCGTGAAGGACCAACACAAGCCAGTCCTTTGCAGCTTTCTTTCATGCCACGACACCATGTCATGCACTGACCACCTCTCCGCTTCTTCCAACCAGTCCCAGAGTCGGCAAATAATGCACGACGTGGAATTCTCTGGGACGACATTCGGAGAACATGTCCAAGCCACCGAAGTCGGTGTTTCAAGATGGTGACACCAATTGAATTATCATCTCTGTGCCCGAACACACGATGCCGAACCTCTGCATTACTGACATGGTGTTGCCACTGAATGTCAGCAATCCTTCGGAGACAGCGATGATCGAACACAGAGAGTCGTCTAACGTCCTCAACTCGGAGAGGCCAGGTTTCACAAGCATAGAGCAAAACTGCTCTCACCGACGCGTTGTAGATCCGACCTTTTACAGCCAGACTAACATCACGAAGGCGCCAAAGGTGGCCCAGATTGGCATAAGCCGCTCTGGCTTTCACTATACGTGCATTGATCTCATCACTCACACCCCCACCAGCACTTATGCAGCTACCCAGATACACGAACTTCTCGACTACGTCTATCTGCTCACCATCCAGGGTGAGTACAGGATTAGAATCCTGCCAGTCTTGTAGAAGTACTTTGCACTTCGAAGGTGCAAAGCACATACCATACCTACGGACACTGATTGCCAACTGATTAAGTGCGGATTGCATGCCTTGGGCATTATCGCACAGTAAGACAATATCGTCCGCATACTCAAGGTCGAGAAGTCTTTCTCCAGGCAACAGATCCACACCACCATTACTTACATCCATCAGAGCTGTTTCCAGAATGTCATCGATGGCAAAGTTGAAGAGGAATGGTGAGATTGGGCAACCCTGCCTAACCCCACTGCTCGAATGGAACAATGGAGAGAGGTGGTTGTATGCCCTCACTCTGCCTGAGGTGTTTGTATATAGGGCTTTTAGGATGTTAATAAACTTCTCAGGCACACCCTTCTTCAATAGACAATCCCAGAGAACAGTCCTGTCCAACGAATCGAAGGCAGCCCTGATGTCAAGAAACACTACGATTGTTGGCCTTTGATAAGTATGGCGGTGTTCTAACATTTGGCGGAGGGTGAAGATATGATCAATACATCCTCGACCAGAACGAAACCCAGCCTGCTCCTCGCGAGTCAATCTTTCTCGGGTTTTGAACAACCTACGAAGTATGACGGAAGCCAATAGCTTGGACGCAATCGGAAGTAGACTTATCCCCCGATAGTTGTTACGGGAACGACGTGAACCCTTTCTGATGATAGGGTTAAACCTTTAGGTCAAAGGCTCGGGGTGTGGCCCCCTAAGATAACCACGTGCTTCGGTTTGGGCACCCGGGCAGTATCACAGCCCACACACAAATGATGAACTCTCTATGTCTATGGAAACTACTTTTCTCGCTTCGAAAAACAATCAGTTGATTCAAATTATCATCATTACAATTATTGTTATTATTAATATTATTATTATTATTATTATTATCTTCCACATTATTCACCCTCTTTTATACTTATACAGAGGCTCGTAATTGGTGGAAATTTGACTCTATCTAAACGTTCTCGAGTCACTGTCCGGTTGAAAATTGTATGTTACCACCGAACATGAGTACTGAAGCAGTTTTTCTGAAACCACGTGCATCATTCAAACTGGCTGCCTTCAACGTTCGTACACTTATGCAGGTTGGACAACAGATAGGGCTGGCTATGTCTTTGGAAAGTCTTAATATCGATGTTTGTTGTCTATCCGAGACCCGTATTCAAGACTCTAGTGAATTACTACAAATTCTCTCTACATCTGTCGCTTCGAAAAGCTTGTTTTACGTGCGTTTATCCGGGAACCCTGTGGCATCTTCGTCTGGTCTTGCTGGTGTTGGTGTCACACTGAGCGCTAGAGCTGAGGCAGCACTAATCGATTGGATCCCCATTAACAGTCGTTTATGTGCTGTCGGATTAGAAAGTTCCATCAAAGTGAGAAGAAATCGGCGTGAGAAACGTTGTCTTTTCGTCATCTCCGCCTATGCCCCGACAGATTGCAGCCCGGATGCAATCAAGGATGAGTCTTACCACCAGTTTTCTGTTCTTCTCCAGAAAGTGCATTCGACAGATATTGTAGTACTAGCCGGAGACTTGAGTGCTCAGGTCGGGCGTCTAGGCACAGAAGAGAGTCGTTTAGGTGGCCGATGGGGACTCGTTGGTCGCAGGACAGATAACGGGCACCGTCTACTGCAACTGTGCACTGACCACAACCTGTTTCTGGCTAGCACTAACTTTCGTCACAGTCATCGCCGATGTGCCACCTGGCGTCCTCCCTCTGCATCTCAACCCTGGACTCAGATTGATCACATCGCGATCAGCTACCGCTGGCGTGGTCGTGTACAAGACTGCCGCTCCTTTTGGAGTACCTATCTGGACTTTGATCATGCCTTGGTCTGCGCCAACCTTGCCTTACTTTTCAGTGGACAACGAAGTGACCGCCATCAACGGATTGATATTAGCAAGCTGGTTGCAACTTCTGTTGCAAGTAAGTATCGAACCGAGCTAGCCTCTAGGCTAGCTACCATTCCACCGAAAAGTATAGATGAGCATTGGTTGCAATTGCATGACGCCATGAAAATGGCGAGTAAGGCCGGTTGTGGGTTCGCGAAACGTCCCGCTTATAAGCACTGGGTTTCCGCAGGTTCTTTACAACTCATTGAAGCCCGTCGGTCCAACTACTCTAAAAATCAGACATTAGTCAACTAACTCAAAGGAAGCTGATAGAATCCACTATAATTCCGACCTTAATCTATGGTCTAGAGACTATAGTATTAAGAAAGAAGGATTGGGTGAGACTCGTTGTCTTTAACACAGCAAGACGAATGAACCTCGGAATAAACAACCGTAGAGATCTAACAATGGAGGAACTAAAAGGTAACATTAGTCTCTCAAACATGGCCACAAAAGTCCAAGAGAACCAACTAAACATATAGTACACAGATCCCGAAAGACCTGACAAATTGAAGATTGTAATTATCGAAAGCACCATAACCCGATGGCAGACTACTCAAAAACATACAAAACAGTGGGATGGCTAAATAGTCACATTTGATCATGTCACCTACAACCTTATCAACCCATAACAACAAACATAAAAATCACTAAGTCAATAACCACACTACCAACACAACCGAACGGTCAAAAAGCCATCAGCCTACATAAATGACTATACACGGGTTGCACAAAAATTTGGCAGACAAAATAAAGGTATGATAAGCCATTGTTACGTGATACACAAATAATGCTCAGCAATAACTGGAAAAGTATGACCAAGGAAAACTCAAACAGCTATTGCGCCCTAATAGTTGTGCCGTGTTTCAAGGAGCATCTTCAAAAAAGCCAACAGGCTTCACCAACCTTATGCCTGGAAGGGGTACTTGGTTAAAAAATGATCATAGACTAATTGCAACCGGTGTATTTATGGCAAATACGTTACTAATCAATATAAAAAGCATGAATCAGAATTCTATAATGATAATTAACCTACCGACAGATGACACAAAAACAACTCCTAAACCAATCGCCAAAGGACCACCCCAGTTGATGAAACGGTCTGATGGTGCTGTCACTGCAACCAATGACAAGGAACCCACTATACCTCCAGTATACAAAGCAGCCTGAATAAGAATGGGTCCGCCAACTAAGCATATAGGCATCAGGATACCGCCTAAACTCACAGAATATGCAGCCCATGCTAAATGCTTAACACTTAGACCCGATTGTGGATATGTAAGTGACTAGAAAAAGAACATACAAGTGAATTCAGATAAAAACATAAAAAAATATTGTGTTGGAAAAACCTTTCAATTAAAAAGCATGGAACACTTTTTTTGAAAGCATTCAATGAAATGAAAGGTCCAAAAGTTAACTGATTCTAGTTGATTTATGAAATTTTGATCAAGAGACTGGTGCATTTACTATCAACCAAACAGATACTAAACATTACGATGTAGATTTAGACCAATGATAGTAAATTAATTAGCTCAAGTAAATATAAACTATGTTGTACGTGAAAACGATTAAATGTTTTCATAAGCATCGAAATGAATCTTAAACATACACAATGGTTAACTGGGGTTTCATACAGAAGCCAGCCGGGGAATTCATCCCGATACAAAAAATTGACTTAAGTAAAATTATTCGAATAAAAGGCAACACCTAAGTTACTAGATCCACTAACTCAGACACACCAAATGACGTTAGAAATGGAGAAAATCACAAATACTACAGATTAAGACACGCATTCTATAGTTTAGAAGATACCAAGAAAACTAACTGAACTCCCAATCTGATCGAATCCTATGAAATATTATGCGCTATTAGCATAGACAAAATACGTGTTATTCACCACCATCAAACAAAAAATCAACACTGCATGAGATATGATCATCATATTATGCGACGCTTCAAGTCGCCATACCACATTAGCACAAGATTAAATAATTTAAAGACGAATCCCAGAATAGTTGAATTAGTGGTCGTTGTTGTTGTAAAAGCCTTTTTAGTATGCACCGTCTTACGCGTTCGCACTTTGATGCAAAATGAATAAAAGCCATGTACACGCAAGACTACATAGTTACCTCATCGATTTTTGATTTGTATAGGAAAATCCATATTACCGGTTCCAGAGGCAAATTACAAAATCGTCTCTTACATATTGGTTTAAAAACCTATTTATGTGATGCATAAATAAAGTGATGATTTTTCCATGATGAGGACCGTTCTTAAATGACAATCCAATTGGAAAATTGTCCGAGGGAACGACTCCGAATATAGTGTGTGACTAAATGATATTAAGAATGATCAGAATGAAGCGCACTTCTTTTACATTAATTAGTCGAGAGGCATACAGTTTGCCCAAGAACCTTCCTTTAGCAGTGTTATATCTACAACTTGGACCTTCCAAGTCGCAAATGAGAAGACAGAAAACGAGTGAGAAGGAATGTTATTCCAGTGTCAAATATGGTACAAAACTCTCGGGTGTTCGTATTTTTTGGCAAAAACGGAATCATCATTAGTCATCCAATCTGTGTGCAGTGGTTTTTAGCATTTGTCCAATCTGGTAGATACACGTCGAGATTCTAGGATGTCCTTCTAAGTGATGATTACATGGAATGTCTTCGGCTTGTTCAGGGCTTCTTTGAGTTCACCGGGAGTTGCCCCCTACCTGTCCTCTCTGAAGTATCTTGTGTAAAACTTTCTGCTCGGGTTCGATTGAAACTTGGTCACTGCATCCCTCTTGAAGGTTGTGCTGTTTTGCCCTTTCGTCTTTTATATCATCTGCTTTCGTTTTCCTTAGGGCATCTTTTGAAGTGAATTCACAAGCATTTGAAAAAGAACTGGCGTTATGTAATCTTGGTCCTACCATCCCTCTGAATTTGATTGGCATGTCTTATACAAGACCCGACACTTTTTGAACTAAGTACAGTACTTTTCCAACCCAACGCTTAATAATATCTGGTTCACATTTTTGAATAATTTTTTTTTTCATCACTCTACATCAACTTCATTGACTACGAAGAGGCATTTGATAGCGTGGACAGAACAACACTATGGAAACTTCTTCGACACTACGGTGTGCCTCAAAAGATAGTCAATATCATACAGAGTTCATATGATGGATTCAACTGCAAAATTGTGCATGGAGAACAGTTGACAAAGTCGTTCGATGTTAGACAAGGTTGCTTACTCTCACCCTTTCTCTTTCTCCTGGTGATCGACTGGATCATGAAGACGTCAACGTCTGAAGGGAAGCACGGGATACAATGGACATCTAGGATGCAGTTAGACGATCTGGACTTCGCAGATGATCTGGCCCTTCTATCCTAAACGCAACAACAAATGCAGGTAAAGACGACCAGTGTGGCAGCAGCCTCAGCAGCAGTAGGTCTCAATATACACAAAGGGAAAAGCAGGATTCTCGGATACAACACAGAATGCACCAATCCAATCACAATTGACGGAGAAGATTTGGAAGATGTAAAACCTTTACGTATTTGGGCAGCATCATTGATGAACAGGGTGGATCTGATGCAGATGTGAAGGCGCGGATCGGCAAAGCGAGAGCAGCATATTTACAACTGAGGAACATCTGGAACTCAAAGCAACTGTCAACCAACACCAAGGTCAGGATTTTCAATACAAATGTCAAGACAATCCTACTGTATGGGGCAGAAACCTGGAGAACTACACAAGCCATCATCCAGAACATACAAGTGTTTATTAACAGTTGTCTACGTAAAATACTTCGGATCCGTTGGCCGGACACTATTAGCAACAACCAACTGTGGGAAAGAACAAACCAGATCCCAGCGGAGAAAGAAATCAGGAAGAAGCGCTGGAAGTGGATAGGACGCACATTGAGGAAAGCACCCAACTGTGTCACAAGACAAGCCCTCACATGGAATCCTCAAGGCTAAAGAAAGGAGAGGAAGAGCAAAGAACACATTACTCCGGGAAATGGAGATAGACATGAGAAAAATGAACAAGAATTGGATGGAACTAGAAAAGAAGGCCCAGGACAGAGTGGGTTGGAGAATGCTGGTCAGCGGCCTATGCTCCATTGGGAGTAACAGGCGTAAGTAAGTAAGTAAGTAAGTAAGTAAGTAAGTAAGTAAGTAAGTAAGTAAGTAAGTAAGTAAGTAAGTAAGTAAGTAAGTAAGTAAGTAAGTAAGTAAGTAAGTAAGTAAGTAAGTAAGTAAGTAAGTAAGTAAGTAAGTAAGTAAGTAAGTAAGTAAGTAAGTAAGTAAGTAAGTAAGTAAGTAAGTAAGTAAGTAAGTAAGTAAGTAAGTAAGTAAGTAAGTAAGTAAGTAAGTAAGTAAGTAAGTAAGTAAGTAAGTAAGTAAGTAAGTAAGTAAGTAAGTAAGTAAGTAAGTAAGTAAGTAAGTAAGTAAGTAAGTAAGTAAGTAAGTAAGTAAGTAAGTAAGTAAGTAAGTAAGTAAGTAAGTAAGTAAGTAAGTAAGTAAGTAAGTAAGTAAGTAAGTAAGTAAGTAAGTAAGTAAGTAAGTAAGTAAGTAAGTAAGTAAGTAAGTAAGTAAGTAAGTAAGTAAGTAAGTAAGTAAGTAAGTAAGTAAGTAAGTAAGTAAGTAAGTAAGTAAGTAAGTAAGTAAGTAAGTAAGTAAGTAAGTAAGTAAGTAAGTAAGTAAGTAAGTAAGTAAGTAAGTAAGTAAGTAAGTAAGTAAGTAAGTAAGTAAGTAAGTAAGTAAGTAAGTAAGTAAGTAAGTAAGTAAGTAAGTAAGTAAGTAAGTAAGTAAGTAAGTAAGTAAGTAAGTAAGTAAGTAAGTAAGTAAGTAAGTAAGTAAGTAAGTAAGTAAGTAAGTAAGTAAGTAAGTAAGTAAGTAAGTAAGTAAGTAAGTAAGTAAGTAAGTAAGTAAGTAAGTAAGTAAGTAAGTAAGTAAGTAAGTAAGTAAGTAAGTAAGTAAGTAAGTAAGTAAGTAAGTAAGTAAGTAAGTAAGTAAGTAAGTAAGTAAGTAAGTAAGTAAGTAAGGTTCACATTTTTAATCACCTTGAAACAGATCACTTGTGCTGGAATATCTCATCTACCCCTTTAGTCAAAGCCCGTTTTATCGTACCCATGAATCTTAGCCATTTAACTGGGAATGGTACGGAGAAGACCGTAGATGCGCAATGCCATTCTTACTGCAGAACCGTTTGAGAGCGGACGACATGAACTGAGTGCCACTGTCAGTTAATAAGATCTCCAGAACCGCGAAACAAGCAAGCAATTTTGACAATCTTCTTATTATATCCTCTGAAGTCGTGTTCGGCATACCGTATACTTCCGTCCACTTCGCAAAAGCATCCACAACAACTAAGAAATTCCCGCCTTGTATTGCATCAGTGAAATCAGCATGTAATCTTTGCCAAGGCTCCAGTGGAGTCCAATCCGTGTCGGGTAGAGACAGATATCTACCTCAGACAACGGATGAATGGTTGCACAAGATCATGGATTGATTGAAGTTAGAAATTAACACCGTTGGATGCCAGCTCAGTGATCTCGATTCTAAGCGTTCGCGAGCGAGTTAGAGTTCCGCGTGCGGAATCGTGGGTGCGCGCTGCTGAGGAGTCCCGAACTAGGATGAAACGACCGTCTAGTGCTTCCAGGTTATCAGTGATGGTCTAGCTTACATTGACTCATGAATTCAACTATTAAAATTACTACAATCTCCACAAAACCTCCATTCTGATCATAATAAAAATTATTACAAACTTCTTAATAGTGAAACGACCCTTCATCCCAATGCTGTTTAAACCAACAGTAGTGGTCCTTGTTATAAAACAGTTCATCTATCGGTTAATGTGTCACTCCTAAAATCGCTTATGACAAAGTGAAGTAAAATTGAGGACTAGACAACCCGAGCACCACATTTTCCCGAACTGCATATAGTTAAATATAAGGGTCTTTTGGAATTTCATTAACAGCAAATATTATGAACACTATGTAAACTAATAGGTCATATATTCAGACGCCGATTGCATCATCATAAACAGATTTGTTCACTTCACTTACTCTCGTCCAAGAGGTTAAATATCATTGTGAAGTAATTTAAATCAAAGAGGGTTTTGAAATCATAATGTAGTATATTAGAGGACTAAACTACTGACTCATCAGTCGTTCAGTTCGTTATAGTACTTGGTGTAACAGTATGTACGACTAGAATTGCAGTGTCAAACGGATGTTTTAAGGTATGAGGAAGCTTGAACCTAAACACTAGTGATACTTAAGACAAGTAATTTTATCTATAACAAACCAAAATACTAAACTATTAGTTCACCAGACAATCTGGAAGAGCTTGAGTCTTTGCTTTATTGCAATCTTAACGCTTGAAATCAAACACAACTCAGTAACTGTTTGTAACAGAGTGAAATTACTGGTAATAAGAGAAAACGAACAAGATGAGGAATAAAAACAACAATACCGTCGGTAGTAGCAAACCAAATATGAGTATGGAATGATACTAAGCTTAAAGTTTACATGAAGATGATGAATGAATGTATTTGAACTAACGACTATTTCGTGCCTTATCACTCAAGGATACCACTTATATATTACGATTTTCTGGTGAACTCTAACCAAAGATTACACTTTTCAACGTAACACGAACAAACAGTCTGTAGCTAAATATACCGATGTCCATATACTAAAACTGTTGAACAGAAGTTTCACTTCAACCTTAGAAGCACTGTAGAAGTATTTACTCTGTCAATGGATAGATGATAATGGATTAGAATGTGTATGTTTGGAGTCAATAAATTATTTAGTGGATACAAACCATGGTAGGTTATTCAACAAACTTATCAAAAAGATGATTACCTGGCAAATAACTCCTGTAGCTATACTCAATACCGCCATTCCAATAGGAGCAAGCCACCCACCACTTAGCATCAAACGACACATAGTAGGAGACTGAAACAATGCGATAGTTGAACCAGCTGCAATTGTGGCACTGGCTAGTAAATAGCCATACGTCGCTCGAATACGCTGTTTAACGTAATCCGGCCAAGCAACTGAACGATCAAAAGCTGAGAGTGAACTATCTTTGCCAGCTAAACCATAAAGACAAAGACCACCAATACTAATTGCAGCTGCAGCACCCACTAAAGCTCGAGTTTTACTGAAATCTGAAAAAATAAAAACCACGAACTTGAAGTTTACAACAATATACAAGGAAATGACGAACAACATTTACAATTTTTATATTAAGATTTTTTCATCCCGTTTTGTCTAATAAAATGAACAGTTTCAAGAAGAAAGCTACTAGCTGTTATTTTCTGAAAAGTTATAATAAAAATATTCGCTTTTTCTCCAAACTGTGGTCATTAATAATTCACCTGGCATTAGCTATATGGTCTACCATTCCTGGCAGTATATGAATGAATGTTAATTTGAAATGATCTGCTACAAAAATTGACTGAGAATACTGTCATACTAGTGGCAAACAGTAAATTCGAAGAACATAGAGGAAAAGATATACAGGTTGACACTCTAAAATGTTAGACATGTGTAGGGGTAAAAAATTTTTGGTAAGGGCAAACTTGAACTTCGGGTTGAGACATTGTGACATATACCAGTGTACATACACACATATCGTGCTACTCCAACGAAATGCCGAAAGTGTTAGAATATCAAACTTTATTTAAATTTTTACTGGGGTGAAATTACAGCCGTAACTACAGAGGAACACGCAAAGGTTATATGAATGGAATGATGACAGTATCATAAATCGTACCGCGCAGACGTAAAATCAATTTGCTTATTTACTTAAACCGCAGAAATATTGGTACCAATGGACACCAAAATAAATTATGCGTCACACAATAAGACCATTATATTATGGAGAGATGGGTGAAATGGAACATAATCAAGATAAATTAACGAATCAGAAAAAAATAACCGAACGACAGACGAATCAGTTCTAAGAATATTCCTTACTTTTATGAAGAATGTAAAAAGAACTACGGTAGGACCGTCACTGTCTTTTATTCTGGTTCGTGTCACCCCACCCCACTAACACGCCACTGGCTAGAATTAGTTAAATCAGCCCCCAGCAATTATCAGACATAACTGCTGTTTTCAACTCGTAAGCACGCTCCAACCACCAGGTTTTTCAATTATTACGAAAGCTTTGCATAATTTCCTTAATTTTGAATCTGCCCCTAACACTAAACTCGCAGTTTATCGAAACGAAACGACATGCTTCAAACAGTTGTAAGGAGATTATAGAAAACTGGTGCCTATGAGGCGGGACGTTTCGCAAAGCCGTAAGAGATGCACCCAACCGTTTTCATGGTGTCATACAAACACAGTCAATGCTCGTCTACGCTTTTGAGTTACAAGTTTGCGTACCGAATGTAACACTTGATATTCGTAATTACTGTGTAATTGTAGTTATGGTCCCTGAGTTATACCTCATGATATCCTAAGCTAGCCTGAGTTTCATTGCCCTATGAAGAAAAATGAGATAGGTCTGTAGGTGTTAGCATACATATTCATCCTTCTGAGCCGCTAGAAGAACTTGCTTACAGTGTATCTGGAACCACAGAACAACTTTACCAATCGATAAACGACCTACAGAGTGCTTAAATATAAAACTATATTATGTCTACATTACTTGTATGGTAATGAAACTGAATGGAAGCAACCCAATGAAGAGGAATGATGAGACACGATAATTAAAAATCTTAGTCTACCTTACTTCATATAATTATGGCAAACGGATCCCTTAAAATCAGTAAATCCTCAATGGTTTATTCGTGCTAACTTGCAATTAGATAGTAGATTATCGGAATGCTTATTTTGCATGAAAACTAATTGATAGATCTCACATTGATGATAAGATGGGACCTATCCAAAATTTGCGAGTCTTTTCATCAGCATAAATAACTTGGTTAGAACTAAAAATGGAAAAACTGGTTTCGAGTCTAGTTTTTACTTTAAGCTCACTACACAAGGATTTTTCTGGTCTGGAATTGGCAAGCTAATCTATAGTTTACCAAATGCATGAAGTAATCATGTGCGAGAAGAACGATTCAGGAACATTTTTGAATTCTGAAGCTCATGGTGCATTCTTTGCTAGATAAGAGAGGATTTACACATTCACTTACACACCAGTCGTTTACAAGGCAAAGGGGAGTGGTTACCAAGAACTTCAGCCTGAAACTATTGCCAGCGTATTCGTAGATATGAAACACTAGCCGAAATTTTTCATACACACCGACGGTCAAGTGTGAACGCCAATCCAAATGTGGACTCGTCCATTGACTGGTAATAATCTTAAAGCGCTAGAACTGATGATCATTCCAGGATGCAGGCATATCGTGCTGACGAGTCCCAATTAGGACGAAACGTGCATCCTGAACTCTACTGCTAGCCACCATCCGTCCTTTCATACATTAAATACCTCGTTTACATACCTTCCACCAGCCGTCCTTCACATCCTTCATGATTCATCCAATTCTGTTTTTATTCCGATCCCTTTCTGTTTGATTTCGAATGTCTTCAGTTCACTCTTCTTAATCCTCATTCGACAGCTATTCCAATTCTGATTGGCGTTACATATTACTTATATCTGTCAACATAAGGAGAATATACCACACTAGCACCCTGTTCCTGACCCAGGTATTCCTTACTCCGTGGTCCCAAAATATACAAGCAATGCTTCAAAGACATCTATAATTGAATACTAGTAACCTACGAATATCTTTTATTATTAGTGGGCATGTTACCCACAAAGTAGAGCTGGGCGAACTGTTGCACAGTAAACTCGTTCTTCAGTCGGCAGAAGGATATCTCGCCTTTATCAGATAGAATTATATCAACAAATATATCTCCTGGTGGAAGGTCGACCCTCGAAAAGTCAGACGATGTATTATCTTTAAAATCGTGTCTATGACAAAGTTACATAAAAATGGAAAAAGCGGATAGCCCTGACAAACACCACTTTAACCAGTTCCGATAACAGTTCTCCATAAGCTTGGAATCAACCCGTAATGTTCAAGTAGTGAGTCTGTTTGATGTTAACATACTTTATTGGTAAGCCTTTTAATGACATACACTGCCCTAAAACTTGTGGATCAATGGAGTCTAATAATGACTGGTCAATGAATACAACTGTAGTTAGATGTAGAAAAGTATGTCTATGTTCCAGAACCTGCTGAAGAGTGATTTGGTCCGACATCAATTCAGAATTCAGGTTGCTTGTAGAGAGTGGGTAACTAAAGTGTAGCTGAAGACCAACTGAACTGTTCCCTAAAGTGTTCTGTCCACCAGTTCAATCTCCTAAATTGAGGGTGAATGATAGCCCCGTCTTTTCCTAAGATAGTTTTACCAATTCCCGAACTCTTAAGGCCTGCTTCGTTGATAAGTATGAAAAGTTGTCTGGCGTTATCCGAAAAAGAAGGTGGATTACTAATGGTCTCAGTGAACTGAGAAAGTGATTGAAGACACACCCTTCATGTGGTAAGTATTTGGTGTTAGCGCCACACTCTAGTAAGCCTAACCTTTGGAGCCGGAAATCCGTGAGATAATGCGGGGTGTGACAATTTTGGGGTTAACCTCTCTTAATCCTTTTCTTTGTTATGAGAAAGCAGAATCACTGAAGATGCTATCCGTCCGAAGGAAACACGTTACTGCTGTCGCAACCCTCTACAGTCAGCAGTAACACTTCGCTCTCAAACCTTAAGTTGCTGTTTTTAGACTTTCCGTTTTTTAACCGACCTTCCGGAATGATAGAATCTAAAGGGACATATGTTTCATGAAATATAGCTCGGTTGAATCATCACGAAAGGCAACCCCAATCACTATATTAAGGTGAAAATACACAGCTGTCTAAACAGAAGCAGGTGGAGTTTGAATCTACGATCTGGTTGAAATTAGAACGACTCAGCAAAACCACCGCTCTGAAATAATAAACAGAAAACTAACCATTGCCATGTGTTTGAAAATCTCGAGTTTTTTTGTTGATTTATCAAAGCATTCGCTAGGCAAATGAGCAAAACGAGCTCTCCATTAGTTGGACAGAGGCTATCACCACTAATTTTCATCATAAACAAATGTTAGATCTCTATTATCATTCATGAAAACATCACTTAGGAAATATCGAATGAAAATGGCCGTAACATAGAGAGCGCATTTCACTTGACACTCAGTGGTTAGATTAGGTTACATAAAGTAGACAAAAGGTACCTGCGTGAAGGCTTATAGATTCAGACGCTAGTTAGTTGTATAACTTACTGAGGGAATGTTCAAACTCCGTAGCTCCTGATTTTAGATTGATACGCCCCACACGCCTACGTATAGAACTATTAACTACTGGAAATGTGCGAAACAATCGAACAGAATGATTTGATATAGACGGTTTAACGAAAGGTGTTGAGCGGTGTAGTTGGTTAGCCAGTTTCGAGACATGATGGCTACGACACAACCATGTTGCAGTGGCGAGCATTATGCTGCAAAAGAAAGGAAAACAAAGCTAGATAAAATTTAAGTTATGCAGATGAAGCTACTACAATATACAGTTAGTTCAATAACAGACAAGATTCTTTCGAATGCTTTTTTACAATCGTATAGATGCTTAATACATATCATTATCTTTCGAAATGTGAAGTCGAAGCAAACGGAACCACCAAAACGACATCTCATGATACTGATAACCACTTCGACGCTAAAATTAGACTTGTCAAAAACAATAATAACCGGTCACTATATCTAATATGACCCGTATCTCTTCAATCACTTTTATGTATGGAGTAAATTTAGTTGCGTTCATTTTTTCTATCAAAATATAATGCTGAGCATGAATTTTACACTTAAAATTAGGTAGATCATCATAAAAATTGCAGGACTATCGTTGCCCTGGTACAGCCGAAGGTGGGGAGAGTCAGTTCACCGTCATGAAATCCCCTCACATACAACCACTACCAGGGAAGTCCTACTCACTGCCTTCTCGTGACATTAGTGTTGTTTGCGAAATTGAGAGGACGTAAAGTGAATGCCCGGCGCTTTAACCGGGTTAGTGGATAATGAGGATCCAACTAGGGGAGTTGGAAAACCCTGATTCCAAACCAATGGTGTACATGGGCTCCACGAGCCTGAGGGAATAAATGGCGTATGAACCAATCGTTGGTCACCGGCTACCATGAGACTGCATCCCCTGACGCTGCTCCACTGTCTTGTGGATCAGAACTTTAGGTCGAAGGTTGGTGGTTTGGCCCCCTAAGAAAACGATCTGCTTCGGTTTCGGAAACCGGAAAGTATCCCAACACTCACATAAATCGAATGATTTATGTGGCGCATATGTATTTGGTGCCTCCTTGTACCAATGTTTGTGTTTAAATAATGATAGATTTCAAATAGAGCTGTTCTGAACGTCTAGCTTTTAGTTCCCCAACGAGTCTCTTCGTGATATCCTAATCACAGAAATCAGTGGCCCTGAGATGGTGAAGATTCCTAGCTCAGGTGAATGATTTTGGTGGAGCTTTGTTACCTGAGCTGCATGGTCTGGTAGTCAAGCCTTCATTGTTCTTCTGAACAAAATGATTATTGTTGTCAACAATAACCAATCAAGATCGAGATTGACAAGAAAAGCTGCTAGTCATATATGGAGAAATTCGAATATTTCACTTCTACCTGAATTTTATGCTGGTATTTAGAAGAACGATGAAAGTTTCACAACCAAACCATTCGGCTCAGATAACAAAACTCCACCAACTTTGTGGCTTGAAACTTAGCCAGAAATAAATCATAATAGAAGCTAGTAGCATTCTTGCTGTAGCATACTAATACATTCTCCATGAAAAAAGGATAAATTTTTTAACTGGTGGAGATTTCTTTTCGTTGTTTTTAAGAAGACTTTACTTTGTTACAGTAAATACTATTCTTACTTATCTATTGTGTGATTTCCTTCACATATGTTTACAGTATAATGATTCCCATCTATGCGGCGCACTTTCTAGACCTCTCTGTACCAAAATTTATATCCTCTACAAATAAAATTCGTACGCTCGAAAACAAGTCTCACTAATGTTATACATTCAGGCTAATCTAATTAAAAGTTCACCTAAGTATGAAAAGAGCGCTAGGAACCTTAATTAGAGTGACCATTTTTGTAGTGATGAAACTGGGAAAATACACATAACATTTAGTTAAAACTATTAAGCATTAAAGGATGTAGTGTTCACTTATTTTGTTTGTTTAAGCAAACAGGCATTGGTACAAAGGGGAACCGGAATAGATTTGCACTACAGGTCACTGAATTTGTATGTTTAGGGATACTATCTAAGTAACCAAACCGAGGCGATTGTTTTCCTCAAATAGCCACCCCCCCCCGAGCGTTTGACAGAGTTCTGATCCACAAGACAGTGGAGCAACGTTAGATTCATCTCATGGTAGCTGGTGACCGACAATAGGTTCATACACCACTTGTTCCCTCAGGATCCTAGAGCCCATGTGCATCATTGTCTTGGAATCGGTTTTTTCAACTCCCATAGGTAGATGCTCTGTACTCAGAAATACGTCTTTCGTTCTTTCAATTTCACAAACAATACTCCCGCCACGAGGAGGCGGTGATTAGAATTTTCCTGACAACGGCTATATGAGAGCATTCCGAGTGGGAGAGCGGACTGTCTCCACCTTGGGTCGTACCAAGGCATTTGGGGACCAAGACAACTATAATTCATAGTAATTTCCAAAAATAATTTCTGGCAGGACCCCAAAGATGAGAAGCCTTACGTTTTTACGTACCTACAGGATCAAAATAGGAAGGACATTCAGTGGAACTGGGAATTATTAACAGTTACCAAAAAGCTAACGACGAATGTTAGAGATATAGAAGCTTTAAGAGTTATTTTACATGGAATACTTACATGATACGACAAATTATGAAATAGATCATTCAACGTGTAGAACTTATAAGCCAAATAAACTCACTGGTCGCTGAAGGTGTCCATAGTTAGAGCCTTTAAGGTCCCTTTCTCCAACCGACCACATTGCCGAAGTCCTAATCACTCATTATCTAAGTTTGGGGTCCACTGTTATTAAAGGCCCTTTATTTCCCGAATGTTGGGTTTGTGATCAAAGCGCTCGACTTTCATTCAAACGGTCATGTTCATTACATCTCAGACGCGATTAACCGCGAGACTTCCGATACGGAATGGCGTTCTGTGAATTCAAATAGTTAGCATACTAGACCAAGAGAGGTGTTACGATCGGGATATGATGAGTCGTTTCTAAAGGGAAAAACGTTTGCGCTGTAAGACTAACTGGCTTCTCGCACAATGACGGTTATCGTGTCAGAATAGACTGCAGATTGTGGGAAATATCGCTAATAAAAATGGCAATGCCAGACAGCAAAACACATAAGACGGTTTATTTTAATCTACATGCTCCATGGTACAAGGTTGCATACGTTTGACCCGGTACCAGACGTAACATGAGTTAACATACAAGCCACGATTTACTACTACCTAACTTATTAACATCTGTAGCTGGTCGCCATTTAACGCCATATAATATTGTATAACTAAGTTATTACAAAACAACTCGGAACTCACCGCGCAATGAGACAGGTCAGAAGAAAATACCGCACTAACGCTACAAACCAAAAACCCCTGACTTAAGAATGATCTAGAGATCAGTTTGGGCAACCTTCTCATATCCAATATCCAATATCTTAGTCACGAACTTGTATAGGTAGTTTGATTTCTTTGCGCCCACTTCTTGATGTTTCGGGTATTTGCTAATATCCTATAAGTGGTAGTCTAACCACTCGACTACACTAATTCTAGTCAGTGTGGTAGCTATTTGTGGATTTGTATATTTCAAAGTTCATTGAGTGCGTTTGTCTCAGGACAGTAGGTTTCTGGATGCCAGCAGCTATCTATCATATTACCAGATAGGGGGTTTGTTGGTTGCAATGTAAAATAATAAAGTGATAACTCGAGTGCTAACAGAAGACGATTGTTTCGGGAACAAATAATTCATTTACTAAATTGGTAATGTGTAAGAAGACGGAATTGAAAGGATAGGAGGGGAGATGGAGATGTTAACAAGAAAGACAGGAAGTGGTTATTGACACACGGTAATGCCAACAGTGGTAAACTATCGGACATATATCAGACACAGATAATTTAGGGATCAGATCGTAATCCATGGGTGAGTATGTGTTTGTCAAGTCTCTTGACTCTATCCACTGATGTGGCTATGGGCAATTCGGCTGCTAGGGCATTCCGAATGGGAGCAACTCCTGATGAGGAAAGGTGGAAACTCACCTGAGTGTTCGTTCTTTGATGTGCAATTCTCCGAGGGTTGCCTCGAGGAACGTCGTGATGATGTTCTGCTAATATGCTTGTTTTGAAGTGATTAAGTGTAGTTGGTATGTTGTATGCTATGGTCAGATCACCTCATCCCAAGTATTGGAATCTGTCCTCGTGAGACTTAGGTTTTAGTCCTATCGCCCACTTCTTGGCCCATCCCTGTACTTGGTATAAGAGATTCACAACTTTTGGAAAGAGGATCGGGCCAACATTGTGGACTTCAAGTTGGGAGCGTGAGTACGCTTCAAGCAGTGTCAGGAACAATTCTGTGATGTGTGTGTCAAGCTTTCCTTGTATTAGGCGGAGAGATGAGTTTGTCTTGGCTTTTTTCTCCATATAGTTTGGGCTGGGGTCCAAGCTCTGCATGGTTACAACCCCGAGATCATGTTTTGAGGATATAATCTGGAGTGGATTTCGATGAAGAGTCTGTAGTGACTCACGTTTATCACGAGAACACGACTGGTTTAATAAAAACAATTATTATTATAACCAACTGTACCAGTGTTTGTTTTAACGTGCTTTTGTTTGACTGTGCTAATGACAGCTTTTTCGTGCTTCCATTCTTATACTTACACTTCGATTGTAACTTCGCGCGAATTCGGTTACCTTCTGTAACCAAGGTTGTATCCTGGCACGATCTCGGTATCCTTTCGATGCCACGAGATCGCCAGCAAATATAACTCGACTTGGTCCATTAATTGCCTTCTGGTATTCGGCTTCTCGGGATTTTATGGAGTCATTTGGAACGAGCTTCTTACGCCTTCTGATCTATTTGGCACGTGTTTCTTGGTAGCGGTGTTCATAGTTAATCACAACTCGACGCCACGCTACATTGGTGACCCGTATTTTGGAACACGCCTCAACTTCTGATCAAATCTTCCAAAGAAGCCAATTCGGTGAGTCTATGATTTATCTATCCACGTCTGTCGTATATTTTCATATTTTTTAATATATAATATACTCGACATGACGGATAACGATAAGAATAGTATTAATATAATAGACTCACATGTATGTGTACCGAATCCTTGTTACTTTTTATTCGCGTGACGATGAATTCCACGCTTTATTCGAGAAAGTTTCCCCTATTAACTATTCTCCTCGCTGACCCGGCTGCTTGGTACGGAATGCATACGCATAAGCATATCTGTCTACCACCCAGCACCAAATGGTTAAGTAAACGGTTTCACTGCCAACTTAAAAGTGCTATACGAGCACACGAAAACGGCAACTGGCACGAAACCTTACCGCTCGTTCTTTTAGGGATCACAACGAGCTTGAAGGCAGATATACAATGTTCCGCCGCTGAACTGGTATTCGGCACGACATTGCGTCTGCCCGGAGAATTCTTCACACCACGGAGCAGACCTAATTTCGGTAAATCAGACTACGTCCATCGACTGTCTGCATTTATGCGAACGCTGTCTCCGGTGTCAACTCGAATACAACATCGACAGGTCGCTCTCCCTCGAGAGTTATCTACCTGTTCACATGTTTTCATACGAGTAGATTCGGTACGCAAACCTTGGCAACAACCTTACGAAGGCCCTTTTCACGTGATCGCTCGTCACGAAAAGACCTTCAAGGTTGATCGATATGGACGCGTCGAGATCGTCAGCATTGATCGTCTCAAACCAGCACACGTCGATGACAGTGCCCTATCTGATAACCTGAGATTCAATGCTAGACCTAGCAAACCTACTAGCGGGATCCTCAAACCATCTTCAGGTCCCACGCTAGATACATCTGAGACCTCATTCTCACGTCCCAGTCAACAGCACGCGTCATCTGCACCGTCTACGGATGAGACGACAGTCTCACGTCCAGATCAGCAGACCACGCCGCCCTTGACTTCGGATGAGATTGCAGGCTCACGCGACGCGAACGAGACTACCGTCTCACGTTCCGGTCGCCGAGTACGGTTACCCGTACGCTTCCGCGACTAGCCGCACAGTTAAAAACGATACGGTGTAGGATTATTCCTATACTACACGCATGCTACACTCTTCTCTTTTTTGATTTTCTTTTTGTTTCCTGAGCCCACGCCTTCGACCATCTCCGTTTGGTTCCGTCGACTTCAGTCAACTTTGGCGAAAGCTGGCCTGATCACCCATGCTCTTGTCAACGCACTCAGTCGATATATTGGTTTCGAATGCTTGGCACACGCTTGGTCTCGAACTTGGTCGTTATGGTCGCTTCTGGTCTTTTGGCTCAACGTGGTTTCGTCCTACGTCTGCAGCGTTTCTGGTGCGCACCCTACGAACGCCCTCTTCAGATTCTGGATACAAACCACTCTGGTGTAGCATGCCAACTCAAGCAATACATACAGCACATCGCTCCTGGTACCGTTCTCCGAAAACGACCTTCGTTGGCAACTCGACGATCAACGATCGCTTTCCTGTTCGCCAATTCTTCCGTCCTACAATCGCTCGTCAGCCGATCAGTCCCACGATTCAAACCGCTATTTATCGAAAGTGTAAACCCTTTCTAGCGGGGGGCTCCTGTAGTGACTCACGTTTATCACGAGAACACGACTGGTTTAATAAAAACAATTATTATTATAACCAACTGTACCAGTGTTTGTTTTAACGTGCTTTTGTTTGACTGTGCTAATGACAGCTATTTTGTGCTTCCATTCTTATACTTACACTTCGATTGTAACTTCGCGCGAATTCGGTTACCTTCTGTAACCAAGGTTGTATCCTGGCACGATCTCGGTATCCTTTCGATGCCACGAGATCGCCAGCAAATATAACTCGACTTGGTCCATTAATTGCCTTCTGGTATTCGGCTTCTCGGGATTTTATGGAGTCATTTGGAACGAGCTTCTTACGCCTTCTGATCTATTTGGCACGTGTTTCTTGGTAGCGGTGTTCATAGTTAATCACAACTCGACGCCACGCTACAAGTCTAAGCGTTTTGTGTCAAATGAAGCAGGATGTTCATGACATGACATTTCGAAAGGTAACGTTTTAACCCATAGTTTACCACCCATCTCTCTATCGTTATAAAGTCCTTTTGGAGCTCAGACGAATCGTTTTCGCCATATATGGACCTCAGAATCTTCCCATCGCCCGCAAAGATCAGTGCCGCTGAGCTAAATTTATCTAGCACGTCATTAGCAAAGATCAGGAACAGAAGTGGACCTACGATTGTTCGCTGTGAAACTACATATTTTGAGACCCTCCAACTCATGTATATCCTATTTACCTTATTACGAAACATCCTGTTCTCTAGGTAGTTTCGGAGGTTTTCACACAGAACAGGCATTTCCTGAATCCGTGTTAGGCTCCATAACACTGTAGGTGCACATATTCCCTGATTTGTGGGCTTTTCTCTAATAATGAATCTGTCGAGACAGTTGAGGTCAGCTTGTAATTTGGCTCCTAGCTTGGCCTCAGAACATCTATTTAATCGCACTTTGGCGTTGCATCTATTTCTCGGTGCCATGAAAGGGCTACGGTCAGGCTTTCGTGTTGATCGGTAACCGTGCTATTGATAGAAGAAACTAGACTAGTAGTGAATAGGTCATTATTTAAATCTTCGCGCAGTCACAATGGAGGGTGGGATTACCTGTTCATGCAAACAAAGCTTCTCAACATTCAATATAAGATAATAGGAAATGCAATGCCTATACAAAATAAGGAAGTGAATGAATACTTGGCGTCTATTGTTTTGACACATACTTAGTTGCTTGAGGTCAACTCTTAACCAATCAACCTAAGCTGTTACATTAGTTTCACCCTACTTTCGTAGGAACGTCGGTTCGATTAACCGATCTATCTAAAACACGTAAGTTCTGTTTCCGTAGCCCATGAGAGAATTATCAACTTGCTCACTCTTTGACTTCCAATCAGTGACGACTAACTCTGTCAGCAATCGCCGATAGTCCATGGATGTCCCTTCATTTACTAGTCTGTCATCTTATTTTGTAGCATGTGATTTCTTCTACAACTATCGCTGATGGTGTACTACGTGCTTGCAAGAGAAAAAGGGTGGGAAAATGAAACAAGAATATCTGAGGAAGTGCCGAGAACGGGCTATCCAACACCGTGTTGGTGATGTACGATTTTTCCATGCTCTGTCAGGCTATCAAGTGTTTACTCACCTGCCTCTTGAGTCGCCCTCAAGTAAAAAATAAAGAATTTACTTCAAGGGCATTAATGAAAACCAATCAAACCTGAAGTAGTGCCCCACTATCTGCATAAAATAATAAGGTACAAAAAGGAAATACATAAATACATTTGATAATTGTTCGGTTCCACGTAAGCGTTTGACTTCCAGAATGGATTGGTAATCTGGGTGTCTTTGGGAAATTGTCGATATCCGAGGGTTTATTTTTTTTATTTATAGTACTTTTTCATAGAGAATTTGTTTGATTTTACCATCCGACTTTGCCATTGTGTATTATTGGAGACAAAATCTAAAAAGCGGTTTGTTTTGCAGGCGGAGCTTGCTCACATCACTCACCTTAGTCGAAGATTCCTCGTTCTCTTGTAACTTACCCATTTTATATGTACTCGCCTTATATTACTCATCGTGTGTTTACGGGTAAGAAACTTATGTATTCAGTATTAAAAATGAATATAACGTTCATGCATCAATAATAAAAGATTTCAAGAGTGTGGATAGCGTAATATTGCAGACCACATGTTTGTGGTAATGTTCCTGTTAATTAAATAAAATGGATGAAACGGTGCAAGAAAAATTGAGCTAAATAAACACAAGACCTTATTAGGTACGTGGTTACATTTTAGTCTGCAGCTAAAACTGTTGATATTCTTGACTGACTAATCAGCTGTGCCCATCTAAACTTTTTAGCCACTTGTTAAGCTTCATCGTTTTTACTCGTCGATTCCGTGGTTGTTTTGTCAGGCAAACGGTCTAACAACACATATGGTGGTTCATGATCGAGATAAGCTGGTTTTAACCTATCAATACTTACGCAGTCGATGTTTCCATGATTTTCTATGATGAAATATTTAGATTTCCTCGACAGAACCTTGAAAGAACCTTCAAATGGAGGGTCAAGCGGTGCTTTTATTTTGTCGCATCTTATCCAGACGTGTGTGCAATTGTTTAGATGCTCAGGTACATATATAGCTCGCGATTGTTCACGAGTATTAATTGACTTAAGTCTGGACGTATGGTCCCATAGTTGATCTATGTAATTTTCCAAATTACAGTTTTCACTGCTAGTAGTAGGGTTAGTAAACTCACCCGGTAGTCTCAGAGTCGTTCTGAAGACAAGCTCCGCTGCTGAACACTGTGCGTTAGTTTTGACAGATGTTCATATTCCCAACATAACTAACGGTAGGAACTCTGTCCACTGATTTGGGTTTGAGTGAGATATAAGGGCAGTATTTAGCTGACGGTGAAAGCGTTCTACCATCCCATTAGCCTGTGGATGATATGCCGTGCATCGTATCCTATTGGAGCCTAGAAGTTTAGCCAAGTTATTGAAAAGTTCGAATCGGAATTGCGCTCCTCTATCCGTCGTTATTGTTGGGGGTGTACCGGAAATGGTCACCCAGTTCTTCATGAAAACCTTGGCTACTGTTTCCGCTGTGTTGTCCGCTGACGGTATGGCTATAGGGAATCTGGTAAATCGATCTACGCATGTAAACAGATAATCAAAATCGTTCGGAAGAAGTAAAGGGCCTACTAAGTCGATATGCACATGGGTAAAACGTGCATCTGGTTGCGAGAAAACACCTATGGGTGAATTTGTGTGACGATTAACTTTGGCATGCCGGACACTCTCTAACCCATTTGTGTACATACTTCTGCAAATTTGAAGCTTGAGACAAAGAATGGAGGTTAATAAATATCAATTTTGCATACTTTTGGGAACGAAAGGTCACGGTATTACCTTTGTCGTGTCACAGTAAATTAGAATATCGTCTATAGGCTTTAGTTTAAGACTCGTAATGTTTGTTTTAAGTAGGTTTTTTAATTCTCGATACTACTATTGTTTGTGTCTCAACGTCTCGAAGTTTACTGTTGACTGCTGTAGGACGTTCATTTCTAGTCGAGATAAATCATCTGCCGCCTGATTGTCCTCACAGTTAACATGTCGGATATCACTTGTGAACTTTGATATATAGTCAAGGTATCGGACTTCTCGAGGTGAGTGTTTATTAGCTCTCGCTTTTGTGCATCCGTTAGTGGCTTGTGAATCCGTTGCTTTCTAACATTTGCCGGAAGTGCTTAATGGTCAGGTAGATTGCAAGAAGTTCTCGCCCGAAGGTATAATACCTTGTCTATACTGGAGCGAGTCTTTTTGACAAGAAAGCAATTGGTTTCCAGGAGTTTATAACTGGTTGGTTAACAGTACCGCCTATTGCTTTGTCCGAAGCATCAAATTCTAGAGTTCGAACACATAAAACACACTTACTTTGATGTATGTTCATTCCGTTTTCATCCAGCCGTTTTAACACTGTTCGTACATGCTGTTGGTGTGACTGTAAATCGGGACTGGCAATACAAATCGTCTATATATCCCTATGCAAATGGTATATCTCGAAGTAGGCTATCCATTAGTCTTTGAAGTGTTTGTGCCGCGTTTCTCAAGCCGAATGGCATGCGTACAAACTCGAACAAGCCAGAACGTGTGGTAGTAGCGGTCTTAGGGATGTCTTCATCAGCTACTGGGATACTGTGATATGCCCTAAGTCAATTTTAGTAAATGCGTTCGTACCCTGTAAACCGTCTGTGAAATCTTGGATATGAGGTATTGGGTACCTACCAGGTTTGAAGGCTATGTAATCCCCGCACGTTCCACAATCGCCTTCATTTTTCTTTGGGATCATGTGCAAAGAAGATGCTCATTGACTGTCAGAGGAAGGGATAAAACCCAATTGTAGCATGTAGTCAAATTCCGCTCTAGCGACTTCGAGCTTATCTGGTGCTAGTCTCCTGGGTCTTGCAGACACAGGTGCACCTTCGGTTTTGATCGTATGATTTAATGTTAGTTTGCTTTTGGAAGGCTGTTGGTTTGGTCTAGTTAAGTTTGGGAATTCTGCAAGTACATCCTGGAAGTTTGCTGTTGCTACTGGAGGAGTTGTTATCAAGTCGAGAGATGTGATGTGTCTTTCTTCGCCTTTCGGGTAATCCGAAGTTTCTTTCAGTGCTAAGCGTCGTTTTTTAGTATCGTATCTCTCTAGAAAAAACCATCCCCTGTATTGCCAGACCAAAATCGGCTACAGGGAAAGCCCAGCGGAATTGCCTCCTGAACCCCAAACCTAGTGTTAAAGTCTTCTACCCAAATGTCGCGATTTTAGATTTATTGGCAGCTTGAATTGTAACTGAGGATGTTTTTTGAGGATGGTACTAAGGGCAGAGTCAGTATCTATCAAAAAGTTCAAGCTGGAGTTTCTGTCTCTAACATAAAACAAACAACTGTTTAGGCGCCCCTCCTCAGTCGTCATGACCTGGGGACGGGTTATTCATTTCCATATTCTTGGGATTCTGTTTAAGCCAGGCGCATGGTTGCATACATCTGGTTGAGTTGACACCAAACTTCCAGTGATATCAACACAACTGCCCAGATTGTATGGACACTTGTGACCTGTTTTGTGACTTTGGTCTTGGTCGTTGTGATGACATGCTCCTATTTCTATCACCCATTCGTATTCTGGAGACAGCCTCAGTGAGACTTTTAACACTCGCAATGAGTTCTTCTATGACTGGATCTCTTGCTGGTTCTTCTTTTTGTGTGTAATTTGTCGTGCGTGATCTAGTTGGAGGATCTCTTCCCAATATTCTTTCGGCTATACGCGATAAAGAGATAAGGAAGTTTCAGGATCTTGTGCATCCAAACAGTGTTGGACGTAGCATGTGAAAGCTTGTATCCATCCTTGCTTTAGGACTGCTTAACTGAATGTGTTATCACTCACTAAGTCTTGGAGGTGACATTAAAACTGTGACGGCAACCTATCATCTAATGTCTCGCCTTGGAAAAGCCTTTGGATTATTTGGCCGTCTGATAATGATAAATAGTTCATTATCTCTCACCTCAAGATGGTGTATGATTGTGGTGATGGTGGGTTTGAAATCACATCACGGACGTTTTTGACGACTGAAGGAGGAAGGATAGAAAATAAGTCTCTATAGAGAATTCCTTCAGATTTGATGTTGTGTCTCGTGAAATAACGCTCTAGTTAAGCAACCCACAACTCAGTGTCACTACGATCAAATTGTGGGAGTGAGGATTTCGTGGTCACAACAGTGTCTATCCTCAATAGTGACAAATCCTCAAGGTTTTTGGTTTGCATTGAGTCTGTTATGAGGTACATGATCAACATAGTAATAAAATCAGCACGATAAATGGTTACTGTAACACGAATACCTTAAGATAGAAAAAAGCTATGCATAAATTTGTATACTAAACATTGGTTCCGGACAAACATAAGGTCTACTTTTACGACTACGTAAAATAATATTAAAAATAAAAATGAAGTTACATTTGTGTTCAACACAGCTCACCAGTTTCGTGCCCATAGGTAAACCTTGTTCTTTTGATAAATGAAACTAGACTAGTAGTGAATCGGTCTTTATTTAAATCTCCTAGAAGTCACAGTGGAGCGTGGGATTACCTGTTCAGACAACCAAAGCTTCTCATTATTCAATCTAAGATAATAGGAAATACAATGCCTATACAAAATAAGGAAGTGAATGAATACTTGAACTCCTAACCAATCAACCTGAGCGGTTACAAGGGTTTCTACTTATACAAGGTTCCCCTTTAGGCCTGTAGGGAGCATCCCATGCCTTGCTCAAGTCAGGAACTTCGCTATGCGTTTGTATATTTACCCTGAGGTACATTGCGTTGAATAGCATCTCTGTCTGTGGCAATCAGATGTTAGTCTCTACCACTTTCGCGGATGTAGGGCATACTAAAGGTGCTCCTTCTTCGTCGGACTTCGTGTTTCTAATTTTTGATGTTTAAATGGGAATTATCTGTCTCTTGTACTTGTTCTTCACACAATGTGATGGTGCCAGTCAAATAAAGTTCCTCTCACATATAGGAATAAGGATGGAAGACGGGGCCTAAATACAAAGTCACAAAATCGAACGCTCAATGTAGACTTTGATCGAGACGAGGTACCAAAGGCTGTTAGCATTTTAAATACAGAAGAAGCAACAGGACCAGATGAACTACATCCTGAAATATCGAGGCAAATTCCACAATACATTGCTGCTCTACTGACTACGATACTCTATATGTCTCTTGAATAAGGTGAGCTACCTACGAACTGGAGGGATGATATTGTCACTCCAATTCCTAAGTCAGGATCAAGACCACTCGCATCAAACTACGAACCTGTCAGCCATACCAGTGTCGTAGTTATATCCGTGGAGACCAAAAATGTGTTAAACAGCGAACAAAACAGTTTCAGGAAAGGATAATATCGAACAGCAAACCTCCGTTTAGCAAGAGAGAAATGGAAAGTCTCTAGATAATGGAAAATGAATAGATGTTGTCTAGATAGTCTTCAACAAAGCAT